GGTGCCGGCGGCTGCCCCGGAGCCAGAGCCGTGGCTGGAGGAGGAGGCGGCCGTGCCAGGCTGGGTGGGGGGGTTTATAGTCGCTCCCACGTCAGGGGATTATCCTCACCCCCGCGACCTGTCGCCATCCTGACCAGGGCAGCTGCTGGATAAACCCGCCTGGCCAACATCTGCTGGCTGGCACAGGGGCTGGGAGCCCGGACGCCTGGGTTCACTCCCTGGCTCTGGGAGGGGAGTCGGGGCTGGGGGGTTAGAGCAGGGGGGGCTGGGAGCCAGGACTCCTGGGTTCTCTCCCCAGCTCTGGGAGAGGAGTGGGGGCTGGTGGTTGGAGCAGGGGGGCTGGGAGCCAGGATGCCTGGGTTCAGATGCAGAGGGCTCAGTGCCATGTCTCTGATTAGGGTCCTGGGTTCACATCCCCTTTGTGACCCCCACGGGGCGCTCCCTGCAGCTCAGCCCCCCTGCAAAGGTGGGGCAGGGGGTCTCATGGGGTGTCCCCTCCAAAGCTTTTAAGGTGGAAATTTTGGGACGCAGGAACCTTGGTTCCCAGAACCCGGTTGTGGAGGGAGGGCTAACACCCATCTCTGGGGCACTGAGCATATGGGGCTGGGGGTATTATGGGATGGCAAGCTTTGCAGGGGGGAATTGTGGGGTGTAGGACCCCATTCTGGGGTTCAATCCCATCGTGGGGCATGGGGTGGGGCTGGGGTCTCTTATGGGATATCACCGGTGTCCGTTACAGGAGATTCCCCCCATGGGGTGGGGGTGGGGGTGAAGCCCTTCCTCTAGGGCAGGGGCCCCTCTCTGCTGGGTGATATGGGATGGCCCCCCTTTGTTACGGTGGGAGTTGCAAGAGACCCCAGAAAACCCAGCTCAGCTCCCCCTCCACTGGGGGCTTCAGTCAGAGGGTGGGGGCAGAATCCCCCTCTGCTTGCCCAGAGTCCCCCGAGATATGGGGGCGTCCCTTAGCCCCCCCACTATTCTACCCTGTGAGACCCTGCTTTGTCAATTCTACCTTAAGAAAACTCCCCCCCGCAAGGCTCCCACCGCCTGATCCCCCCGGCCCCCCAATACAGCAAAGTGCTGCTAGTGTGAATGCAGCTCACCCAGTGCAGCCTTTAATGCTGTAAGTTAGTCCAGCCTCCCCCCGTTCTCCCCCCACAGAGCTGAGCTGGCTGCAGGGTGCAGTGGAGACGGGGCCTTTTGGGGGCAGTTTGTCAGTGTGGAGAGTCAGTGGGGTAGCCAGCCTAGAGCCAGGGGGTGAGTGAAGCCCTTTGCCGCGGGGAGCAGCCTGCTTTGTCTCTCCCTGCCGCAGGGAGTAGCCTGCTTCTTCTCTCCTTGATTTGGGTTCTTGTGTGGTATCGTTCTGGATTCTCACTGAGCCTCTCAGCAGGTGTCTTGCTCTGGTTATCACACAGGGTGGGGGGCGCGAATGGGACAGACTTAGCCCCGTGGCCCCAGTTTGTCCTTTGGGGCGGTGCCCAGGCTGTCTCTGCACATCACCCTGGTGGGAGGGGCCCAAGGGAGAACCCACTCCTCAGCCAATGGGTTTCCTGCCTGTCTCCATGGCAGGTGGCTTCCCCCGGGCTGCATGTGGACAATGGAGCAGGAGGACAAGACCAGGAACTCAGATGTCCTGTCCACCTGACTGCCCAGCCGGGGGGCTCAGAGTGGGGGGACAATTGAGGTTGGGGATTTTGGGGGAGTGTGACGTTATGAGTGTGATCTAATATCTCATTGGAAGGTGACAGGGCCAGAAAGAGTTAATTACCTCCCAGACTGACCTGACCCAGGGCCCAACTGTAGCGACTGGTTCAGAAGATCTGTTCATGAGCAGAGCTGGGAAATGCAGCCGGGGTTGTTAGAGGTAGACGGGAGCTGGGTGCTCAGGGCTTGTGGGATCAGCAAACAAGTCTGGTCTATCGCTAGAGCTTTGATTCACAGATCAAAACAGGAATATTAACATTTATGTTGATACTTGAGGGAAATAGTATTATTGTCTCTGTCTCTTTGAAGGTTGTGGTAACCTGGATCTGAACTGTTTAATGGATAAATGACCCTGTGCTAATTGCCAGGATGTTTGGAAGGAGAATTAAGCCTATTGTTTTCTCAGGCCGAAAGGCTGCTGGAAATGTATAAGACCCTGGGACACGATCCTGCTTCATCTCAGATCTGCTTTGGGTTTCAAGAGGGGGAAATCTTAAGCCACAAGGATTGAGATCCCCAGTCACTGACTGGAGCCACCCTGAATATGGACATTGGACTATATCCTCTGGACTATTTCTAAAAGGACTTTTGGCAACGACAAGCTCATCTCTGCTGTATCTGAACCTCAAGCATTGAATTCAAGTCTGTCTGTATATTGATCTGTTAACCAACACACTCTCGCTTTTCTTTTTTAATACATTTTAGTTTAGTTAATAAGAATTGGCTATAGGGTGTATTTTGGGGTAAGATCTAAGTTATCATTGGACCTGGGTGTGTGGCTGATCCTTTGGGGTTGGAAGAACCTTTTCTTTTATGTGATGAGATCAGATTGTCAGGAATCCTCATCATATCTGACGTGTGTCTGGACGGAGGCCGGACGCTGGGCACTTTAAGGGAACTGCGTTGGTTGGACTCTGAGTAACCAGTGAGGTAATACAGAGGCTGGTTGGTAAATCTAAGTATTGGAAGATCCACCAGCGTTTGGGGTTTGGTGTAGATAAATCTCTGATAATTTTCATATGACTTTACATTGTGCCTCTTCATATAACCTTGTGGTGGGTCTACCCATGTGTGACCTCTGTTTTCATAGTCTCTAAGGTGCCACAAGTACTCCTGTTCTTCTTTTTTCTGTTTTCATGGGACTTTGTATCAAAGCCTCATTTAGAAACTTTGCATTGCCCTTGGTATAATATTATAGCCCCTAAGGATAGAATAAGATAGAAGAAAAATTTCTGTTTGCTAGCAGTAGAACAAGAGCTCTCCCCCCCCCCCACTCTTAATCAATTGCTCTGTTGAATGAATGAGGTGTGGATGA